CTCCACCAGCATATAAACACAAACCATTTACACCTACAAAGAGCGGAGAAACTAGCAACGCTGAACAAAGTCAAACTGATGTCACAACTGATTCCCCGAAAAGAAAAGAAACTCAAGAAACAAAAGATGAAAAACAAAATGGTGTTTTCAAAATATCCGGTGAAGCAAACTGCAGTGATATACGTTCTCCAGAGGTTACGAATCGAAACGTGCCAAGCACTAGTGACAGAAGTGAAACAAGGTCTAGTCCCAGTAGTTCAGAAACTGTCAAGGGTGGGGTACGATCAGGTCATGCGAGGACTCATGCGATAGTTATCAATTTAGACGACAAAAGTCGTTTCACTGAAGAAGTGACCGTGTAAAAACTTTTTAAAAACAACTATTACTGTACTTATTTTAACCTAATGTCTTCATAAAGTTACGCTTTATGTTAAAAGCAATATTTTGGTATCATTAATTTATTTCCAAGTACAAATTCGATTATGAATTTATTCCATTGAACCTGGTTGTGCACATTTTCGTTTTTTTTTTATTTCAATATAAAGTGTCATTTTTTTATTTTTTTTATTATTTAAATCGACTGGTACACGTACAGCTCTTGGACAAAAATACAGCTACACCCTCAATATTTTCTCTCTGCGCTCACCTATTACGTAAGTGCAACTAAGAAAATGACAAAATGCAAAAACTGGAGATATTTGCAAAAATATTATAGTCATAGTATTACTCGAGAGTAATTGTCTTAAATTTGAAAGCTTTCTTTGGTGCACATAATAAGTTAAAGTAGAAATATTTTATATCATTATCCTTTTTACTGGTTACGAGGTATTCTATCATAGTGCTCAGGGGTGACAATCCATCTAAATTTTGAATCTTAAATAAAATTATATAGGTGTCTATGGGGAGCAATATCCACTTACCATTAGGTGGATTGTGTGCCCAATAGTCATCCTGAATCAAAAAAAAAATGTCTAAGTGCACAAATAGTTCGTCACGTACGCCACAGAAGGCATTGTAATGAGGTACGCCACTCTTCTCAAAAATATGTTCCTTTCTCCAACACAATCTCCACAATAATCCACAACAGATCATTTCCTTTTATTATAACCACGTATAAATTTCGTTTCTAAAGTGGCACGAAACTAATCCAACGGGATTGTAGTTTGTTTTAATAGCATTAACAAATTAAACTAATTTTACTTTTTTATAAAAAATAATAAGTAGCACTTCAGTGCCACTCATACGGAGCGGGGTCAGCTTGAAGGTTGGTCCATCTTAGAACAACGACAGGCATGAATGTCGCAACTGGCGATTTAATTGTGCCCCCATATGAGTCAATCTTTAAGAAAGTATATTAGATTGATTTGGTAAAGGTTTTATTTCAATTTGTAAACGAAATTTACTTTTCTTTTGGACACTTAATACATAAATTAAATTGTAAGTACTCGATGCTACTATTTCGGTTTTAAATTTAAAAAAAATGCAAACTCGTTTTATAAGATTGTGAGAGAAGAAAATTGTGAGAGAAATTACAAGTGATAATTGTTTTTTTTTTCTTGGAATACAGTTATGAGAATACAGGTACTACTTGGTAGAACTCCTTTTCTGCCTAGGAGTCCGTCTGAATAGGTAAGGTCCTGCCGCTAAAGCAATGCATATACTACTGTGGTCCGGTTTGAAGAGTATAGAAATGATTTTTCTTATATTGATGCGAACACTTCACATCACTTTTTAATTTCTGACGTTTAGGGTGCTTTACAGCATCTATGGTCACAAAGGGAGGCGGGGACTGAGGTGTTTGACGTCCCAATGTCATAGTTAGCCCGGCTACCTTCAGTTTTTGAATATTAATTTTTGGTCCGATCAACGCAGAATGAGCTTAGAGCATCTTGAAGTCTTGCAGTGGTATTTCTGTTTTTGGGTTTAATTTTATTAATTATAGTATCCCAAGCTGAAATCAGCACCCATCCATCTTCTCTATTGCATTCAATAGTCACGGGTGAGGGGGGGGCTGAGGTGTTTGACGACATTGGGACGTCAAACGCCTCAGTTCCCCCGTGACCATGGGTGTTGTAAAGCACCCGAAACGTCGGGAATTAAAAAGTTAAATTAAACACGATAGATTCCGTAAAATTTGTATCATTTAAAGAATATAGAGAGCCAAAGTAATTACAGGCCGTGAAAAATACACTGCTGTGTTTCGTATGGTGAGTGTAGAGAACCGGAGACACTTTTTACTGGAAAAGAGGCATTTCATCTTAGTCCTCACGGGTGACAACACATCTGCGTTTTGATTCGCAAACGACGATAAATGTAGCTATCTATGGGTCACAGCAAACACTTACCATCAGGTGGACTGTGTGCTCGTTCGTCACTCTATCCTATTAAAAAAAAGTTCAATTTTTGTTACAAAACATTCCGTCTTAAGTGTCAGGTGTGAGAAATGTACAACACGCATAACAAAATCGTCAACCTACACTTTCATACTATTGTAAAAAAAATAAAAATAACAATATTTTAAGGTTTATGTGTTCTTTATAAAATCATAAATCTAAATGCTAGTCTTTTCTGTGATTATTAGTTGGATAAGAGATAACCTAGTTATTAACTTTTTGTCATTAAATGCATATCAAATGTTTTACTTCCAAACTATGGATGTATATACGTAAATCGTAATTATGTACTGTGTATTGTAAATAATAAGTAATGGAATTGCGTTTGATCATGCGATTTTAAACTGTTTTAACAGTTATTTAAAAGTATTAAGCAACTGTTAACAATTATTTATAGCATGCAATACTGCTTTTCGAATAAGATTTAAAAAGTAAACTGCTTGCTTCCTGTGAACAGATGTAAAAGGACTAATTTAAGTGCTAGACCAGTGTAGTAAAAATGTACGAAGTAACCGTATTGAGGTCACATTACACCTGCAACCTTTGTATTTAGGGTTGGCTGCAGTGTAGGGTCACCTCTGGAGAGGTGCTGCATAGCGGGTATTGTTTATCGTTGTAGATAAATCATTAATTTTATTGAAAAGAGAGTGAAGAAAAAATCTACAAATTCGAATTGTGTGTACATTCTGTAAATTTGGAAGAAAATAAAATTTTAGTATCGTGTAAATGTTATTTTTAAAGTTTATTTATATCTTTACTATATTATTATTGTTATATTATCTTGTTGTAACGTAGGTTTTATTAAATGTAACTTAACAAAAAAAATATATATATACTGTCTCCCATTTCAGTAGAAATATTAAAGTTTAACATTTATCCAAATCTAGAATTAAATGTTGCAGCCATGAAAGACAATTAGTGACGATATTGTTTGTAAATATAGATTTAAGTGACAATTTGTTGTACATATTATAAATATAAATTATTGCTTCTCAATATTTGTGAAAGTATCAAAATTTTATTATTTAGCAAAGAAAATAGATTAAAATAACTAAAATTTTAAGAAATAAAAAACTGCCACTTATCGCAAGCCTGACATACGTATTTTTCACAGTAAGCGGTTTTAGGTGTGCTTGGGGTATGCGGTGATGTGCGGGGGTCGCGACACTACTCCTCCCCTTGCCCGATGGGTTTGTTATTTGTCTGTAGTCAGAAATTGGTGTAAGCACCATTCGATTGGTAGAAAAATGAATATGTCCTCCGTCTTCCCCTTCACCCAATTTATTTAGCGCTTTACTTGTGTCGACCCAATCATATTTCCCATTCTAATATTCAATTCCAAAATTAATTTATAATGTAAATAGTTTTTGAATCATAATACGTAAAACTCATTGTTTATTACTTCTAATTCGTAAGAATTTTATCTCAGTTTAAAGTCAAGAATTTATATTAATTTATATTGTCGCCATTTTGAATGCTTTCTATTATTACAATTGAGCATGATATTTATATTATAAAAAAAAAAATAAAGTTGTATTATTAAAATTTGTATCTAATCCTACATAATATGTCATAAATCGATCGTAGTACTGAGCATATAGTCATATGCCAGGGATTTGGCCTATAATTTATAGCTATGCATTCCATTAACGTCGTCAAAAATACGAAAAATTAGAGACAGTAGGTTGAGATGCGGCCTTATATGAATTAGACAAAAGGTGTTATGGCGGATACATTATTGCCTTAATCAAGAGATTCCCAGGCAGGTCACGTTCTGCCCAATTCTACGATTTGACTGCGACATATATTATAATTATTTAATCTGTTATACAAAAGACAAGTGCAAGTGTGGGTCTACACTTAATTTTGCTTATGTTAATATTATTATTTAAAGTATATATGTACATAATCTGGACTAATTCATATAATTTTTAACAAAGTTTTCGATCAACGTATTTTATTAATAATGTGTTGTGTTATATAAGTTTTTCGTATTATTAAATGTGTATATAACTGTAGTTAGTGCTTTTAACGTTATATTAATATGCTTGCAATAAATAATCAAGTATAATGAACTTAAGCCCAAACATAAACACATCTTCAACGTTGTGCTTTTTGCAGAATATTTCTTCGAATGAGTTCATGTTGATATTATAAATGTGATGTAATTAATGCATGAATAAAAATGTTTCTTTGGGCTGTATTCACAATATAGAAAGTAAAATTAATATGTTATAACAAAACAAGTTAACCGAAGAAATCAATCCTAATAAAAGTTGAATAATTAAATTAATTTCATTTTCAACCACTATCTCGAAGGTTACCTGTGTAGTATTGATACAAGAATATCCACTGCCCCATATCGCCCCGTGGGTATCGTAAAAGAAGATAGAGTGAAACTAACAGGAGATGGGCAACATCATGTTTTTTTTATGCTCACCTGATGTTAAAGTGACTACTTTCGCCTATGAACAACTGCAACACCAGGGGAATTGCAGATGCTTTGCTGGCCTTTTAAATGTCTTCCTGATAACAGTTCAAAATTATAAAAAAACTACGTTTGATAACCTGCCAAGCATCGGAACTATTGAAAAATTTCCCAAATCTATGGCGGAGATCTGTGAAAGGGAACAGCGCTTTATCTCACATCCTGCATCAGAGATCAACCAACTACTGAACTTCTATTCACAGACCAATACCACATCTCGCTGGGTAAGGAAAAAACGAGGTGGGCGTGACCCCAGAGTAAGACTTGCGACTCCGAACTTGATCCCCTCTCAAAAGAAAGTGTTGACGACTAAGATGTTGGGGCCCCCCATGGAAATGGTCTTGACGCCACTCGTATGTACTTCAGTGGGCTGTATATTACTCCTTTCTGTACAATTAGGGTGAACACTGAAGGATCTTGAAATAAAAAATTAATTTCTTCAAAAATTCCCTTTGGAAATGTAATACTGAAACTGTCTTCACTGATCACTTTTCTTTCTTAATTATAACTGTAACAGAAGCTGGTCCCGAACGAATTGCAAACATATCGGCCTCCTATCTTACACGGAAAGCTATACCGTAAGGAGAACCGCACGCCAAACGTCATTTCGACATAAGCTAATCACTAATTTTTATTATCACATTTCCATTCTTCACCCTATAACTTTATTGCCTATCACAATATTATTACATAATTACATTTCTTATAAAATACAGCAAATTAAAACATTAATGTCGCATAAAAGAATAGTAAAATAATTAACAAAACATGGCAAATTCACAAGCTATTTTTAGAGTTACAATTCTTAAATACAGACTGAAAACTCATTAAATAACATTTTTCAGTAATAAACATGAATATCTTAAACAATACAACCATTTAATTCACAAATAAAACATTTAAACATTAAGAAAACACTTTCAATTAAATTTTTTATAATTTTCACTAGATTGGTACTGATGAGTCCTTGCGTTAGATATACTATTTATGGTTGTTTATTAGGTGTGTTGATGAAAATATTAAGTTTTATGAATTTTTTTCTCAAATCATAACTTTTTATTTACTTTTACCCCACTGTGGAAAAAATACTCTACCGAAAAGTGACCCCGTATTACACGTTTTGGCTCATTTAATTGGGATTCTGAAAAGCTATTACACATGGCCATGAGTGGCTCTAATATCTTTCTAGGACGAAAAAAAACAAAACAACGGTTGTGAAATAACTATTTTAATAAAACAAAACATTTTACAATAAATGCTCAAAATTCCTACCTCTGACCATAATACATAATCTGCACCGTGTAATAAAATTCCTACGTAACTTACGGAAGTTATTAACACCTCTGTTGTTAATAACTTCCTAGCAAATTCATGATTTTGTCGTAGTTCTTGTTCGCTATTGTTCTCTCCTTGATAAACTATTTCTTTAAAATGGCCCCAAAGAAAAAAACCTAATGGATTTAAATCGGGCGACCGGGGTGGCCACGCAATAGGTCCGCCTCAACCAATCCACCGGTTGGGGAAGCGCTCGTTCAAATGATCTCTAACTGCTCGAGCGTAGTGAGGCGGAACTCCATCGTATTGCAGCCACATTCTTCTCTTAACCCCTAGTTGCATTTGATCCACGACTTTTTGGCCAACCTGTATAGTAGGCTGATGCTACTCCTTTCTAAAATTTATCTCTGTTTAGTATATTATATTATTTATTTTTAACATTTAGCTATCCCTGCCTAGCCATTATGTGTCATATCTCTTATCACATATCTTTAAGTTATTAAAATAATTAAACATTTAATTATTTTTTCGTATAACATAGCCGATTGCTATATAATGCATGACTCTAAGTTAACTCAAAATATCTTTATCTCAGATAAAATATTCGTATTTCTTTATTGATATAAATTAGACGTTCTATCGTAAGTAAGGAATGAATCATTTTTAGAAAACATTATCTCGCGCCGCCAACACTCTGTGTTCAGCAGTAGACTTTTATAGGCTGTAATGAATTAATATATTGAAAAGGTTTTAACAACAACTTACACTTACCAATGGATCCATCCCATTGGTAAGTGTCCCAGTGATTAGCGCGTGAGTATTTGGGCATTAAAATTTTAAAGTACAACACCAGCCCGCGCGACTAAAATTACTAATTGCTATTTCATTTGAACTATCATGCTTAAGTTCTAATTTATTATGTGCTCTGCGATGAAAAAAAATATCGTCCTCATCATCAAAAAATCAAAAGTCACAAGCAAATAGTAAATGTAATCAGTACAGTTTATACGTGGTAGAGCCATACTGCAGCCATATTAGTAGTATAGTTGTAGAACGAACGGGTCGGCTCGACCGGGGAAGGATCACACTCTCCCAGAATACAAGCGTGAAATAGCAGCTTAACGCTGCTGTGTTTCGAATGGTGAGTGCAGAGAACGGGAGACCCTTTCTACTGGAAAAGAAGCATTCCATCTTAATCCCCACGGGTCACAACGCATCTGCATTTTGATTCTTTATTAAGGACAGATGTAGATGTCTATGGGTCACAGCAACCACTTTGACACAGGTGGACTGTGTACTTGTATGTCACCCTATCCTGTAAAAAAAGTACATTTTAGCCACAAAAGATGTTTAAGAGAGGCGTGTTGGAAACATTTATTTGTTAATTCAGCAGTGCAACGTTACTATTATAATTTTTATCCCTAGTGTGGTGGTGTTTTGTGCAATTGAGGGAAGGCGGGAGGTGCTCTTCAAAATGGAACGGACAATTAATTTTATTTTATTACGCGGAAATAATCAAATTAAGATCTAACAACGTTAACACATAATAATGTCCTCCAGACCGAATTTCGGTCACGACGGTCAGTATCAGCGGAGTCTAGTCATCTGTACAGGACAGGATTATAGTGCTCGAGTGTACCAGCAAGCACAGCTACTCTATTCTCTCAGTCTCATAGTCCCTTTGAACGGTAATCCGATAAGATGATGCTTTCCCAAGCACGGGAGTGAAGCATTCCCATCTACCTGATTTCGGGCTGCTACTGATAATTTCTTGTCAGAAAAACACAATAACTGATTTAGGCCCGACCTGGGATTTGAACCCAGTACTTCATGAATAGCAACCTCGTTTACAACCACTAGACCAACGAGGCAACATACACGAGTACACTGTGCCCAGTAGCGGGGCATTCATAGGATGTAACTTTTATCTCATGTTTATTTTTCCTGTGTATCTAATATTATTAAGACTGTAGTCCTTGAGTGTGGGAACTTCTAATAGAACACCTACATTGATATTTGCTAGTCACACAGATGCATTGCGCAGTGTTAGTTTACGCACCCTGGACATGAATAAATTACTTTTGGTGCTTCGCACAAGTTACATATTCATCACGCGTTTGTCTTCGTAGGATGTTCATGAATGTCATAAAAATCACGCATTGTATATAGTCATTTGCAATTTCTTCTGTGTCATTTGTTTGTCACATAGCAAAGTCGGCTGGCACGTAATTAATAGCTTACGGCAAAGGGTGGGGCCAGAGTGTACGCTTTCTAGGTATTATTTTAACTATTATTTTTTTATATATGAAAAAATTTAAAATATTAGGAATGTTTTATGTACTATGGGAAATCTGGGTTTCATAAATGATATTTTATTAAAAATATAAAGATTAATACGGATTTAAACAATCACAGTGGCTTAAAAAATTTATACAGTATGTAAAAAACAACCCGTTGGTCGTTTCAGGGACGTATAGGTGTACTATGAATGGGATTTTAGCGTTTGTACTCAAGTAACTAACTATATTTAATATTTCTAAAAATGTTATTTGCATCTGAACTAAACGACACGTGCCGACATACCTACCCATACCTACCTGTGAAGTCTCTAACACGGCTGATACAGCATTTTTTCAAAACGAGCCGCTGCGCGGCGCGCGCATCCCCAAGGTTTGTGAATGAATGATCCCTTCAACAGTAACTTTCAAGATGTTGGATTATATCTTATATGTTGCAACCATTGCGACTATTTTGTACTGCCAAGGAGAAATAATTTACTTAATTCGTGTTTTCTTTAAATATATGGGTATTATGTTATGATTTATACAATAAAAAAGTTATAATAAAAATGTTTCTCGTCCAAATTTATATATTAATAATAATAATAAATATATAAATATCTTTATTTGACACTTCTATTTCATACAACATCATTGAGCCCTGACTCCTAAACTAGGATACCCTGTATTTCAGGAGTCAGTTCCTTCCTATTCAGTAACACTTTGTGTCGATAATACATTAGGAAATGTTGATATATTACTTAATACTCAGTTTAATATATACGCGTGTGTGTGTGTGTGTGTGTGTGTGTGTGTGTGTGTGTGTGTGTGTGTGTGTGTGTGTGTGTGTGTGTGTGTGTGTGTGTTAGTGAGTGAGTAGTTTGGTTGTTGCACTGTCACATATTATTATAACATTAGTGTTAAAAGCGAAGTATAATAGTTATTTCCTGTATTTTTTCCAGATACAGGTTATTCTGAGAAACTTTAAATATAAAAATAATAGAATTAATAATGAAAATATTTTTATATGTTCATATTTATTTTATATTATAAATTATCTTATAAAAATTATTTTAGAAAGTCAATTAACGAGAAATATTCTTAGTTCCACTATGTAGATGACGATGTTTTGACGAGATTAACAGTTTATAAAATTATGTTGAGATCAAATATACATTTTTCATTCATTCATTACGATCTATCAAAGTTAACTACAGAACATAAGCCTATCCAACGGATAACCTTATAAGGGGGTGATTTTCATAGTTTCCACTATTGCCAGGTGGTTTGGCAACCGCAGTTTTTTACTTTGGATCTAGTTGTTATTAAAAATATGTCGTTACCCATCTCATGGTTTTCATCTGCCTTTTACCACACCCACGGGATGATTTGGAGTAGTGAATATTCTTTCACAGCCAATACACATTGTATTGGATATTTATGTTACAAACCACGTTATTACTTATTAGATATATGGGAAAAAATATTTAAAAAAGGTTGTTTCAAGTAATAAATGTCGTGATTAATTTCAAACTTGCAACTATTTGTAGGATAAATGCATTATGTATCCGTCATGTGAAACTTTATTTGATAAAGAATATGTTAAAGAAATTATTTTTTAAATAGATTCTTATTAAACGAATGCAAGAAACAAAATAAAATTAATATAAAATAAGCGGCGTTTCGCGCGCTCCTCAAACTCAAACCTGCTATCCACTCGTCATGGAGCACAAAGAAGTTGGCTTGGAAGCATGACCGCTCAGATTAATGAATAGGTGCACATAATTGCTCACTAAATGTTCAATCCAAATCCGCAATTGCTCACATTATTAATCTATTATTTAATTAGTTATTAATAATTAAAAGTACAGAATTATTTTTGCCTATTATACTTAAAACCAATAAACTTTTTTTAAATGAATAACTGCTCATAATTGCTCACAAAATGCTCAATTTAAATACAAAATTGTTTTTCCTAAAAAACAATTTTGTATTTTAAATTATTAATAACTAATTAAATAATTAATTAATAGTGTGAGCATTTGCGGATTTCAATTGAGCTTTTAGTGAGCAATTTATAGTATTATTCATTAATCTGAGCGGTTTAGGCAAAAACAATTTTGTATTTTAAATTATTAATAAATAATTAAATAATTAATTAATTAATAGTGTGAGCAATTGCGGTTTTAAATTGAGCATTTTGTAAACAATTATGAGCAGTTATTCATTTTTAAAAAAGTTTATTGATTTTAAGTATAATAGGCATAAACAATTCTGTACTTTTAATTATTAATAACTAATTAAATAATAAATTAATAATGTGAGCAATTGCGGATTTGAATTGAGCATTTAGTGAGCAATTATGTACACCTAATCATTAATCTGAGCGGTCATACTTCCAAGCCCACTTCTTTGTGCTTCGTCATCGTAGGACTTTAGTATAGGAAAATCTCTAAAATTTACACGCACTTCAAATGATCGCGCCAACTGACTTATTTTGTGTACGTGTTTTTTTAGTAGTTATTTAAAAACATAGTTTAATTAAATAAAAGTTTAAAAAACAAAGTTTAATAAACATAAAATTTTGTCTCTCAGTACTCGAAGAATACAAATAATTTTAGCAGTCGTGTCCGATACTCGCGCTCCACACTTGTCAATGTCAAACATTAGATGTATCGACTCGTCTCGTCAAATCGAGCTACGAACGGACTTGAAATCACCTCGAAAATTAAGGCGGCACTGATTTTGTTTCACGCGTGTTCTCTAATCAAAGATGTTGACCTATAAAACATCTTTGTCTCTAATACTAAAAAATCAATGATATTTAGGCTTTACATTATTGCTTTTTGGTCTCAATTAATAAAAATAATAAATGGTGAATGTGTTATCTATACTTTTATCTCACGTTTTAACCAAAAATATTTTCTAAGATAATAACGAAATAGCCGCGAGATTTAAAATAGAAAAGGCCATTTTAAGGGTTTTTACCATTGTTGACGATATTTTTTCTCAAAATTCAAGATTGTTTTATAAATATCGCGCGGTGAAAATGAAGACTCATCTAATAATTAATTGAGAAGTTTTTGTGGCGTCATTCAATGAAGTCAGTTCTTTAATATTTTTTAAACCGTAACTGCCTATTTGCGCGTATCTTAAGGACCGGCCTCTTAATAGAATTTTAGAGACCATTAAAGTCGAAAAAGTCTACACACAATAAAACTTTTTTCTGACCGATAAATACCGTACATTTTAAAAGTAAAACAACCAGTCGCTGTTTGACAGATAAATGAATAACATTACTCGAATACGTCATGTCGGACATTTTATATATTTCTTAAAATGAAAAAAATGTGTCATCAATATTTCTTATGTGATGACGCTTAAACACTACTTTACAATAATGGATGACCAATTTTCACTACCATGTTACAATATACTTCAAATTCAGGTTTGGCTCCTATATTTATTTTCATACTTCAGGGTACGCAGGTCTTACACACGTGCTTATGGTGAGATTGATGATAGGCGAAGAAATTAAATTATTTATAGTGTAGGGGCCAAAAAGGTTATTTATTGTTACTGGTAACGAGGCATTCATCTTAATCCGCAGGGGTAACAAGGCATCTACATTTATTTTATTCTTAATCGAGGAAAATCGACATACCTTCAGGAGGTCTTAGTACACTTTTGTCATCCTTATTCTTTAACTAAAAGGTTGACAATCATATCTCTCTCATTCAAGTTTGTTCTATTGAATTGTTCAAGCGTTTAAGTTTGTGCAATTTATTTTATGGAAGAGAACATGTATAATATATTAATATCTTCCACTGAGAAAGACCTAAGGAATGGCTTTACCTCGTCTATATTAAAGTTGCAATTTTTAGCTCAGCTATGGAACGGGTCCAAATTGCTTAATATTATTTATCAATTCCAATAAGAGGTTCTAAACTCATTGAAGGAAAATCTCAGTATTCTTATTTATTAGGATATTTTATTTTTATTTTTGCAGACCGGCGACTGTTAAAGAAAAAACTACTTATATCGCTTTTATATTCTGCTATTGTTTTTAATAAATTTTCCGTAAAAGAACTTAGCATGGATGATTACCGATGGGAGAAAACCCTGTTAGGGCACACTGTGAGTTAATTAATGAATATACTTTTTATACATTGTGCACACACAACATTGATAATATAATATAATAATTATTTATTTTCTCACTACATTAAATTAACAATATCGATTTTTGACAAAAAAAAGTCACAAAGTAATGTGAGAGACTGATGCCTAAACTAGGCGACGAACCTGTATTTCAGGTCATCAGGTCTCCCTCTCAGTTGACAACTACGAAATTAATCTTAGAAGACATATTTTAATAAGATACGTTTACTTGTGGTAAGTATTATTATAAGTAAATATTTAATAAATTTATCTTGATGGAACGTGCGAGCGCGCTCTTGTGTGTGTGTGTGTGTGTGTGTGTGTGTGTGTGTGTGTGTGTGTGTGTGTGTGTGTGTGTGTGTGTGTGTGTGTGTGTGTGTGTGTGTGCGTGCGCGCGCTCATGCGTGCGCGTGTGTGTGTGCGTGCGCGTGCGCGAGCGTTTGTGTGTGTGTGTGTGTGTGTGTGTGTGTTTGCTCATAAATGTTTAAATTTCGAATATTTTAAAATATAGGAAACTCCTATTATATTGCACGCATCATAACGCGAAGCATTATTTGGTAATGTATTACTCTCCGACACGTCAAGGTCAAACCATTTTGTGGTTTTAAATTGCCTCTATCATAACCATATTGAATTTATTATACTATAGTATGAGTAGCCGTATGAGTAGCCGTATATCAAAAAAACACTCTAATTAATCCATCTTATATTTTCTAACAAATCATTTAATATTCCTACTTTGATAAAAAAGGGTTTGAAATTAAATTTTAGGTGGACGTCCGGATGTTGGTTTTATATGTGGTCACGATAACTCCCGAAAAAATTGACCTATCGAGACCGCCTTTTTTATTAGCTTCAGAATTATGTCGGCTGGTTCTCTATTTCATATCAATAGCATAGTACACGTCGTTTGTTAATAAAATGATTTTCAAGTTTTATACATTTTACTGTTACAAAAAATTTAAAGGCACTTTCATTTTTATCTTTAGCCCTTGATAGACAAAGACAAATGTACCATACAGCCTATATCGATTTTATACTTTGTGTAATCGATTTGTTTTGGTAATTTATTTTTTTTCAATAAAATTAAATGAAACGCTCATAAGGCGTGCACTTTTTTTTTAAATTTTGCAAAATATATCATAGAATTTTATCGCGTCCGTGTTTCTCTCTATTTTTTTAGTATACCCCACGTAATATATGACTTTGGTCAATTTGTAGAGGTGTCTTTATGATTTTATTAATAGTCGAAACACTAGCTAGCAAAAGATTAGTATAATTTGGCTGTTTTTCTCTACACACTACTATTTCTTAAATACTATAATCATAATGAATATATTCCGCGCAAAAAAAAAAATTATTCCGTAATGTTTATTAAATATTACTACAATACAATAAATACAATAACACTAGAAATAATTCCTACATTTTACAGAAGTAAGGGTGACTAATAATCACACGAAGATGGTCCGAGATGTTAAGTGGAAGTTATGAACTACATACTGTTATATCTGTCCTTGATGTAGAATGAAAATGAAGAAGCGTTGTCAACCATGAACACGACTCAATGATATAAGATCGAATGCCTCATTACTAGTGAAAAGGGTATCCGTTTCTCTACACTCACTGTACAAAATACAGCATAATGCCACATAATGCTGTTATTTCACATTGGTATTCTGCGTGAGCTCGAGTCTTCCCAGGTAGAGTCGACGTAACCATGCTTCATCCGTAATTGGCTACAGCGTGGGTTGATGTAAAAAATAATTCTAAAACCGTTTTACATACCTAAGGACTATTAAGAGAATCAGGCCTTACTTTGCGGTAATCCAGTCATGCGCGTGTACAGTCGTGACGTAACAGATTATTTGTTAATTTATTATTGACGAATATCTGCGTCATTAGAATTTATGCCATATCCTATATTAGGTCCATACTTCAGAAAAAGGCATGCACGCTTGCGCCCTAGATTATACGTACCGGCCACACAAATGCTAATCTGTGGGAGAATTGAGCTCGCGTACGGGAGCGTTGGAGGCAAATGCTGCCCCATAGAGAGCTTATTATTAGAACACAATTATGAAACAGATAAAAAATACATACTTCGGTGTAGTGGAACACTCGGTTGGAACGATGTTCATGTCGTAGTATATTATTACTGATAAACGTATTATATTGTACATTTACATATACAAATAAATTAATTACTAGCGTCTATTAAAATGAAGCGTCGTTTAAAATAAACTAATATTTCTTTCATGAGAGAGAGAGATAAGAAAAAGTGCGAGGAAGATGGATATTATTCCATCTTGCTTCCTTATAGCCGCCAAGGCCATCTACACTTTGTCAGAAGGGGACGTGACGGAAACATCTTACACTTTTTCTCGCCTAGCCTCCATCCGCCAAATTTATACCGCCCGATAAGGAACTTCGTTCCAAAAATGTAATTAACAGTATGGAAACTTCATACTACTTATTTATACCTAAGGCGTTTCATTACGAGTATTTAGAGCACGGTTATTTTCTTGTTAAATCACTATGTTTATTTACATCGCTTATTCTATACGACGAATACAGATTATAACTACACAACTTGCAATCCGCATGTTGAAGGTTTACCGATAGCGTCGTTATTCATTTTTTTACTTATTATAAGCTAGACCTTGACCAAAACCCCACCTGTTCGTAAGCCGTGAGGAAGTCCTAGATGGTAAATCGCACTGTCTTAGAGCGTAACAAAAGCATACTCACTAATTTGCTGTGCGCATTACAAAAGACGAAGCAAAGCATTTGGTTCTCATACATGGAATATCGACAACATAGGGGTGAAGACGCGCTGACCGCCTTGTTGTCCATTTTGGAAATGAGAGGGAGGAATTAAAGCATGTAAACTTCACGCCTCCAACATTAGTAGCGGAAGTATTGCTAGAAGTATCGTTGCTAGCGGTGTTTGCTAAGATGACATTCCACTATATAGAACGTTACGTTAACAATATAGAAAGCTAAAATGTGAATAAAATCAACGCTAAGTCACGTTATTATCAATTTACGTTCAGATATCATTCCCGTTCATTTTTCACCCACGATGGAATGAGGAACATATATTTTTAGATGCTGGTGCTATGTTATGGTTGCACCTCGCCACGGGTTCGTTCGGCCGGGAAAGGACCACGCTCTCACAGAATACCAGCGTAAAATATCGGCATAATGCTGCTGTATTTTGTATGGGGAGTATATATAAACGGAGACCCTTTGTACTGGTTACAAGGCATTCCATCATAGTCCTCAGAGGTGACAATGCATCTGCATATTGATTCTTAATCGAGGATATATCTAGATGTCCGCAAGCCACAGAATCCACTTACTAGTGCGGAGTACCATCAGGTGGACGATGTTCACATTTGTCAAGTATATTCTTCAAAAAAAAATACGAGCAAAGCCGGGGTGGGCCTATAGTATTAAATAAGTAAGGGAAAATTATATTTTCAGTTTAGCATGTCTCGTGCACCATGCAACCATTATGAAGGCGGTACCAAGACAGTCTTGGATGTATTTAGATCTTGGCTCCAAACGCACGAGGAGGCTCAGGTATAAAAATATGTTTACATGATTTTCATATAATTTAATTTATCCAGCTGTGTAGTCATTTATATAGTGTAGTTATATATGTACCCATTTGTTACTGTGTTATATTACTAGTCGGATACAATATATGTAGGGAATTTTTTTTCCGAATATGGTTGATCACCTTGTGGATTAGTAGTCGGTGTATTTATAGTAAATTATCTCTTTATATGTATACTGTAAATATATCTACAAGGGCAGTCTTTGTGGGCCTTGCGTACGAAAGATAGTCGTCTTGCGAATACAATATAATTCGTTCAGGATATCGTAGGGGCTGTCGTGGGATTGTAGCGCGTCTGGAATGTTTACTGACGCGCGTATTAACGGTTCTCATGCAATAATTCGTTAATAAGTAGGATCTCTGCCTTGTAGGGTCCTGGATAGCAGCAACGGTATTCTGAAAATGTTTGGGAGCCGATGTGACTGCCACTATCAGGCAAACTGAATGGTAATTGTTATTGGCAAGCTTAAAAAATTATACCTCAGTTACTAATTACTGTGGTATAATTTATTCATGTTAAAAAGTTTATTTTTAAATTATTTTAAGTTTATTAAAACACGTCTTTTACTACCAATATAGGCTTCTGTTTTTCAATGACTCTTTCTATGGATTTAATCTAAAATAAAATGTTATTTAATTTTATATTATTTTAAAAGAAAAACGCAAATTATTGGTTTTCGACCTGACCTTCAATATTACTTCATAAGCGTTGCCGTATTGAAATAAATAATATATGACCGACGTCATTCCATACTGAGTACTTAGTCTAGGGTGACATTTTGATTCGTAATCGAGAAAAGATATAGATGTCTATAGGCCTCAGCATCTACTTGCCATAAAATTAACTTCCTGCTCTCTCTAAAAAAACAAACTCACAAAGTCTTCGTAATATTAGAGTGAATATAATATTAAGCTATCATACAAACAAAATATAATGCAACATTTGGTCATGGTGGCCGCTTTCCGTTAGATATATTTATACAAATTTATTTAGTTTAATAGAAAAAATATATTTTGTTCCTTAAATTCAAGAAACAAAAGCTTAAAAAAACATTTTTTCATTTTGCGTGCGACCATCATTTTTAATAATCAATTTGTGTTTTTACATTTTTAAGTGATCTAATTTATATTCTTTTAATTAAATAAAACAAATATATTTAACCGTTTTCAGATAATGGTTGCCAGTATTTTAGTCGTCTTCGGTCTTTGGTGGTTGGTGCGGACGATACTCGCCTTACTTATTAACTTAGTTTGTCCACTCTTGTTCGTCTTATTGGCTGTAGTAAGATCCTTTTTTATTAAATAAAAAGTTTTTATTAAAAAATAATGACCAAACGACCAACCTTATATGATGAAAGACGAATTTGAAATTGACTTTTCCTAGATAAATACAAGAAATAAAAGGGGCCAAATTAGTCCAAGTCCAAATTTGAAAAATTGACGTGATTTTAGATTTTAAGGTATACGTACCTATAATGGAGGTTTTGTACATTTGACAGCTCCCTTTCCTTTCGAAGTTTGTTTTCGTACTTTTTGAACCCGGTCAAAGAAAAAAGTACGAAAGCTACTTGCAGTTAGAAATTTCCAGACTGCAATTTATTCCAGCTTAGTCCTCAGAGGTAACAACGTAACAGCAGCACTTTTCGTATAAAGTTGGTGGCAGGTGTCCAAGGGTTGCAGTAGCAACCTACCATAAATTAGACTGTAAATTCGATTGTCATTTCATTTTTATTAAAAAAAATCTCCTTGCAATGCAATCAAGCCAATTCCAATTTTATCACATAAGCATTAGAGACACTTATTATAGGATGGATAGGATTTGTAGCGTCAAAAGTTCGATACGTGAATACTATAATATTCAATTTGGCTGCCAAACGAGATGGTTAAAGCAAATCCTTCCTACACTGGGAGAGGTATATGTCCAGTGGTTGACTTTTACGAGTTGATTTTTACCATACAGATACCCTACTGTAAGCGTATACAAAGATGTTGGAGTACTCACTGTAAACCAACTTTTTGTACTAAATACGTCCTTAGCAGTTACAAGGCGTATTATATTCCCATGATAAACTACTGACTAATCGCAGGGTATACCAACTATTCATACCATCTGTCAATACTGTTTTGGCGAATATATCAAAAGACAAATTTATAATAAGGTCGTAAAATATTGTAAGATTAGTAATAAAAACTACATCTGCTTAATTAATTAAATTGAAATGGTTGGTATGAGGAAATAGACGGATTGTTCAAAATTGGCTTTTTTTTTAAATGTTTTAATTTTCATTGTATACTTTGTTAATGTTTTAATTTTCATTTTCTTTTTTAAATGCACAACATAGTTAATACATTTCAGTTTTATATAACTTGGCTTAATGGTAATAGGTTTTTTCCTTTTTATGTTCAAAGATTTAAAACATTAAGCAGTTCTGTTATTGCTGTGTTGTGTATACTGCTTCCTACTATAATATATTTACTGTGATACTGCCGACTTCCAAAAAGGAGACGGTACTCAATTCGACTGTATGTTTTTTTGTTTGTTACCTCATAACTTTTTACTTGGTAAACTGATTTCGATGATTCTTTTTTTATTTGAAAGCTGATAGTTCTCTTGTAGTCCCATATGAATTAGATCAAGGTCAGACCAATAGTTTTTGAGTTATTCTTAATAACTTATATTAAAGTCGTCTGCACATAATAATACAATTTGTCTGATAAGGTATATTAAATAACGCTTAATGAACTTTGGTCTCAGGTTTCCTTGATACAGGCTTGCCTAACAAGGAAACAAATAGATATTACCAATTGTATAATTTTTTGAATTTTTCTTATGCTTTTGTTATCATTCGGAAGGTCACGTTTGAAATCGATAAGAATCATCACTTACCTTTATATTTTCTAGGTTAAGAAAAAGGTATTTTCTAGTCAATATTATCATTGCCTTACAGATTTGCGTACCTCAACTCCGAGCACCACTACTGGGACAAAATTATCCGTTACTGGCGAATTTGTTGCGGAGTATTTTACTTAAAATGGCAGAAAATTTAAAAACATAGTTTGTTAACAATAAAAAATTAATATTACAAAATTATTGTTGGATTATTTTTTCAGTAATGATATTCAAAAGTTAAGAAATTCTATTAGGGTACCAATAAAAAATATCTATTAATCTGGAAATTTCTGCCACGGACGACCACACGGAATTTACTATCGCCAGCAGGTTTAATTCTACCTTCTAGAAAAGAGCCTACATTCTGTTCGGTGAGAGTTAATAAAAAAGCAGGGTTCTTAAACTAATTACAAATTCCGGCCCGCTAATTATTTTCGCTGATAGATGACTGCTACGTCGCCTCGCCTACCCGGCCTCTAGCTTAACAGCTGCGAGGCTCATACACAAAATTCTGTGCTTTCAGTGAAGAGCAACACCCGTCACACAGATTGTGATACTTTAGCGACAGTCGCTATTGCGTGACATTTTCATATGTACCAACTATCACTGCAAAGACTAGTCTTCACTAAAAGGCCAGCTGCGCAATTGCAATTCCTCTGGTATTGAAGATGTTCATGAACGACGGTAATCATTTACCATTAGTTAGGCGTATGCTCGTTCGCCTCTAACTCCATAAAAATATTCCTGTAAATACTTCTGTTAAATTATTAATTAAATGAAAGTAAATTTTATTAATTTCATCGCTCAAGCCGTTTAGCAATTACGAACTCCTCATACAGATAGGAATTTACAACAATATCAACAGAACAATATACAGACATATCAAGGCTGTCAATACCCACTACCCCATATCTCCCGGTGGGTATCGTAAGAGGCGACAGAGGGAAACTGAGGTAGAAGATGGGCAGCATCATCTTTTTGATAACAGCAAAACAACAATAAACAAAACTACGGTTGCCAACCCGCTCGCCAAGCGTGGCAACTATGGCATTATACCCCCCAATGATGAGAGCAACAAAGAGGCCCGCTATTTCTGGCTACGGTGTTGACCTTGGTAACGGCGAGCAGTGGGGTGCTAAGAATCTTCGGTAGGTATGGTTGCCACCTAAGACGACTTGACCTGGCAACATATTACGCACGCACCCAGAGGACTGACGAGAAGACCCTGGAGCTGGAAGAAGAGATAGAAAAGTTGCGCTGAAATTTTATAGGGTTATCTGAGCTCCGAAGAGAGGGGGAGGACACGGTAATTCTCGAATCCGGCAACTTGTTCTATCACCGGGAGGGCAGCCACCTGTCCCAAAGTGGTGTCAGATTTATCGTCCACAAGTATTTCGTTAACAACGTTGTAAAGATTGTGAGTCGTGTGTCGACGAGGTTTGCATACCTTATACTCAGAATCACCAAACGGTATTCGCTGAAAGTCATACAGGTTTACGCATCAACCTTGGCACATCCCGATAACGAGGATATCTCTAAAGCCATGCATTCCTCCAAAACCCACTATTCGGTGTTAATGGGAGACTTCAATGCAAAACTAGGCACAAGAGAGAACGGTGAGCTGAAAGTAGGGAAATTTGGAATAGGTCAACGGAACCCAAAGAGCCAGCTGGTGGCCGGAGCAATGGAGAAAGAGGGACTCTTAATGACGAACTCTTTACTCGCTTTAGCACCATAGACCACACACATACCCTCTGAAAATTGTATAGAAGTCCGAGGTACAATTTGCCACTTTGTTTGGCGTATGTAGACTATGAGAAAGACTTCGATTCCATCGAAATTTTTGCTGCAATCACAGTGCTGAAGTGTTTGTACAGTAGGTCTCCGATGGCTATCCGAGTACAGAAACAGATTACGAAACCTATCCAACTGTAAAGAGGTGTAAAACAGGGTGCTGCATTGGAAGACGTTTCAGGACCGTGCTTTGTGGCATTCTTTGGTGGAGGCCTATGTTCAGCAGTAGACTTGTGAAGGGCTGTAATTATGATGATGATGATGGCACACAGTAGTTTTACATTAACAGATAATAATATCACGTTGCAATAGAATTTCTTTACATTAATATTTAAATACTTATTCACTATGATTAAACATTGTGGTAATAATTTACTTCAATTGATAAATTAATTGGGGGCATTGAGTTATATGTACTACGTACTAGAGAAGCCATTCCGAACATTGACTATGTTCAACTGAACTGTACTGCAATCCATACAAACTAAACATTGCGTAAATTGAAGATTTGTGAATTCCATAAAATAATTATTATTACATTTTATTTAGAAAAATAATATGTTTGTTTACATTAAATTAAGATATTTTATATTAAATTCTTATATTTATTTTATATTAATATCTTATTTTATATCAAATTAAAGTCTTCGCGCATGCGCGACTACTACTCCCGCGCATACGCGAAGACATAGAGTAGGACACATTTTTTGTTTGGAGAGGCTTCTCTAGTACGTAGTACATGTAACTCAATGATTGAGGGTCATTACGCTGTTGATCTCAACATAAATACCCCTTGACATTAATTCAACGTCAAATGTACAAGACGTCAGCTTCTGTTGATTACTGCGCGCTTGGAAACGATAGATATAATACAGACATAATTCACAGTCACAACCTCCTTGCTCGCATTCGACAGTGAGAATATTTACGCTCGTGATTGGTTGTTTGAAGTATTTTGCGAGTGCGAGCGGCAATTTTGATCGCTCGTGACGTAATTTATTTATACTTTAAGCCGGCGCGATCGAAAAAGTTCTCACATGGATTTTTACAGTGAGAAAATTGAGTGAGAATTATTGTTGAAGAATTAATTTTATTTCGTTTTGTGTGAACGGTATATAATTATGGCAGAACGTTTTTTTTCTGCTTGAAAGATGTTTACAGCATTAACTAATAATAATAGATGACTGCTATTATAATGCCCGTGCTGAAGCAAGAGCTCGTGCATATTTCAACGCGTTGCATTTTCGTGCTCATGCATTTTCAGACGTGTAAGCTCGATGACAGGCAATTTATCTGTCATTGAGGTTACATCTGTCAGGATAGATAACGCCGTTTCAAAGAAAGTATTCAAGTTTTTTGTGTAAATTGCGTTTGATAAGTCTAAGGTCCATCACTATTTTTTTATTTATCTAAAGTTTCATGCACAAAGTTGTACATATAGCGGACTTATTGTCATAGGGCATTCTCTCCCAGTCAACCATTAGGTTAAATAGAGATAAACACGAGACGGTGCAGCAGTCATCAAAAAATAAAGGGCTAAAAATATATTCTATATACTTATATACAAATAAATATATATATACACACACATATATACTTAAGTACACACAATATATACATATACATGCATACAGTACATATATATATATATATATATATATATATATATATATGTGTGTGTGTGTATATACACAATATATATAAATGTTATCTATGTCAGAACAAATATGAAATATACATAATTAAGTAAATGAAAATAAGAGCTGTGTTAGTTCAAACTTGCAACGATTTTTTCACATGCTTATGAACGTGATTTTTAAAAATAAACTTGTTGGGAGCTTTTTTAATGTCAAAAGTGATGCCGTTTCAGTCTGATGGCCGTGAGGGCGAAAGAGTGAGATGAATAGAGCCAGTACGGTATAAAAAGCGAGCAACTTAAGATTAGCCGAAGAACGAAGAGAACCATTATGAGAATGTCCCAGGTATTGAAATTTGGATTTCAGATATTCGGGAGTACATTGATCTTTCAGAACTATGAAAAGGGTGCAGAGTATTCTAACATATCTGTGCTGACGGATGGGCAGCCAATTTAGCTGAACACGAATAGAAGATACATGGTCGTATTTACGAAGACCAGAAATGTATCTGATGCAGTTGTTAAGTAGACGATTGAATGTATTAAGATGATGTTGAGACAGGTCTGAGTAACCTAACGTAGAATAAGTGACTGAACAACTGAAATCCTAGTATTGTAGGGAAGTAAGTTTTTTAATCGATAAAGAGATCGCAAAGTTTCATTAGTTTTGTGACTTACCTCCTGTATATGTTTGTTCCATGTTAAGCAACCATCAACATACAGACCAACGTTCTTTACATGGGGAAAGAATGGTACTTATACGTTATTTTTAAACATAATTGATGGTAGGGTGGGAATATCTAGATTCGATAATGATCGTGGGCTACCTAGGATTATCGTTTGGCATTTAGATGGGTTCACGTTTATTCCATACACAGTGTACCATTCTGAGATGTGTTGTTACCTCTGAGGTATAAGATGGAATGCCTCACAACCTTTAATTCGACTAGCTCTTTATAACCTTAAGATCGAAACACAACAGTGCACGCTGAACTGAACTTAACCAGACGGACTTCCACCTCATAGCACCTTAAAAATAATCCTACCACCTTGAAGACTCAAGCAGTGGCGTCGCTACCTTTGGGCTAGGCGGGGCAGTGCCCCCGGAATCACAAGCTCAAGGAACCCCTCAGTCTCCATGAACCACGGTAGAAAAAGTATTACATATAATATCCTAGTTGAATTAAATAAAATCGACTTTTAAATTTTTGGCTCCTAACCAAAACGCTCGAACGGCTAGAACTAATATCACAAAAATTTCTCCCACCTCCAGAACACAAATATCATAAACATCATTGTTAAAATAAAATTGTCTACTTAGTTTTATTGTCTAAATACCTATATTATTAACTGTAATCTATTTCGTTATGGTTTATTTTTACCGGGAATTGGATTGGGATCCTTTTATAGGGATGGAACGGTGATGACTGAATGAAACGGTGTGCTAACTTTTATCCAAATCCATACAGTAGTTTTTACGTAAAGGACTAACAAACAAACAAACTTTTACATTTATAATATCACTAGCAACCCGCCCCGGCTTCGCACGATTTCGATCAATTTAGTTTATCGCTTTTTTGTATTGATAATTCATTACTACGGAAAATGCGTTAAGTAAGAAAATATCGTGTATAATTGTGAAACATAGATCCAAACTTGTCCACGGCTTACAGATTTAACAAAGGGTAATTTAGCTGTTAATGCTGTAATATGCAGATTTTGTCTGAAAGTGACGC